TAAGAAGATAAAGACTCCAAAATACTAGAATGGGCTCTCAACATGGGCCAAAACAAGCTATAAGAATACTCTATAATAGGCAGAGTTCAGTACCTATGTTTAAAAAAAAGATCAACAGTGTGGGGAAGAGGGGGCTGGAGTGTTCCCACTAAATGGGCACGATGTAGGGTATATGGCACACCTTTTGGGTTTAGGACATAGCTACAAGAGGGACTCTACCTAACAAATTTAAACATTGTGATTTGGTTGTTTGTACCCTCACATTAACCTGAAATTTAAAAAGAAAAAAAAAATTTGTTTGACAGAGTCTCACTGTGTCACTCTTGGTAGAGTGCTGTGATGTCATAGCTCACAGCAACCTCAAACTCTTGGGCTCAAGTGATTCTCTTGTCTCAGTCTCCTGAGTAGCAGAGACTACAGTAGGCACCTACCACAACCCTGCCTGGCTATTTTTAGAGATGGGGTCTTGCTCTCAAACTCCTAAGCTAAAGCAAGCCACCTGCCTCAGTCTTCCAGAGTGCTAGAATTATAGTGAGCTGCTGCACCCCCCCCAAAAAAAATTAACAGTGCAAGTACCTGGTAAAATGATTTAACATGACTGCAGTTTATTTTAATTATGTATTTGTTTGTTTGTTTTTTGAGACAGAGTCTTAAGCTGTCACCCTGGGTAGAGTGCTGTGACATCATAGCTCACAGCAGTGCTGTGACATCATAGCTCACAGCAACCTCCAAATCTTGGGCTCAAGCAATCCTCTTGCCTCAATTTTTCTATTTTTAATAGAGACAGGGTCTGGTTCTGGCTCAGGTTAGTCTTGAACCTGTGAACTTAAGCAGTCCACCTGCCTCGGCCTCCCAGAGTGCTAGGATAACAGGCATGAGCCACTGTGCCCAGCCTATTGATTGATTTTTTTTTTTTTTTTTTGAGACAGAGCCTCAAGCTGTCCCCCTGGGTAGAGTGCCGTGGCATTACAGCTCACAGCAACCTCCAACTCCTGGGCTCAAGCGAGTCTCTTGCCTCCGCCTCCCAAGTAGCTGGGACCACAGGCGCCCGCCACAACGTCTGGCTATTTTTTGGTTGCAGCCATCATTGTTGTTTGGCGGGTCCGGGCTGGGGATTCGAACCCGCCACCTTAGGTGTACATGGCTGGCGTCTTAGCCGGTTGAGCTATCGGCGCCGAGCCCCTATTGATTGATTTTGAGATAGTCTTACTTTGTCCTCCTCAGTAGAGTGCTGTGATGTCATAGCTCACAGCAACCTCAAACTCTTGGATTCAAGAGATCCTCTTGCTTTAGTCTCCCAAGTAGCTGGGATTCCAAGGTGCCTGCCATAACACCCAGCTAGTTTTTCTATTTTTGGTAGAGATGGGGTCTTGGTCTCACTTAGGGGGGTCTTGAACTTCTGAGCTCAAGCAATTCACCAGCCTTAGCCTCCAAGAGTGCTAGGATTACATGCGTGAGCCACCACTCCCAGTGCGTCATGACTACAGTTTATAAGACTTAGTTTTAAGTTGATTTGTTAACATAAATCAGTAACATGCAGGGGGAAAGATCCAGAACAAAGGTGAGCAGTGAAAAACTTCAGTACCAGACCATGCCCTGACTTTTGTTTTCAATATCAGACTCCTGTAGAACTGAACGACAGAGATACCGAGGAATTGGCAGGCTCATGCTACAGAGAAAGCAGTGCAGTCCCTGAGAAAAGAGACTTTTAGCATGCTGGATATCTTGAAATACTCAAAGGGATCTCATACAGAAGAGAAATTAAACTTTTTCAAAGTGGCTCCACAGACTAACAAGAACAAAGTATAGAAGGAGTTAACTAATGGGAGGTGGATTCACCCCAGAATGAGATGCCTTTAATGATTAGAGCTGTCCAAATATGGAACAGACTATCTTCTGCTTTCTCCATTGCTTTATAGGAGGGCTGCAGAGGGGTTGGAAGTTGGCTAGGCCTCTTGCAAGTCACTCTTTTCCACTGGTCTTTTCTGTCTGACTAGCTTTTTGAAGTACCTGCTTTGTGGCAGCAAATGCCCTCCTTTATCAATGCCTTTGAAGCTCTTTGATTAAACCATTCATCTTTCTGAATCATAGTTTCTCTTTTTTTTTTCTTTCTATCCTCAACCGATTGAAAATGATTGCAATCCTTGCTGGAAAATACTTTTCTTACTTTAAAAAACCCTTGTTAACAAAAAGCAAGTATAACACAATGCATAAAATAAAGTGAGCACAGGTTTATTTTTTTCCCTCCATATGAGAACCTAAATATTTCTGCCTTTGAAATGTTAGGTTATGATACATTTTGGTAACCCATAAACAATAGGTTTTAGAGACACCAAAGGTTGAGGAATCATTAATTGTTATGATAATGTATACTACAAGGGGCCAATTCTGGGCCAAAAATCATACTGTTGCAGCTTAAGGGAGTATTCTTGCTTCCAGTAAATAGAAAGCTTGCAAAGAACAGTCTAGATGGATAATGGCAATGTGGTAATAGCACCAAAGTGAACTTAACTTTACCCATCTCTGAGGAACCTATAATGCTGTCTAGCTTTGATTTTGTCTATTTTAAACCTGTCACAGCCATTCTCATAAGGCAAGTAGTTCTGAAAGCCTTCTAATTTATTTCACAAATTGGTAATCAATGAACTTGAATTCAGCAGTAATTTCCTGAGGCCCTTTTGCAAGTTACTGATAAGTTGGGTATGGTGAGACTCTTTCATTCATTCAAACAGTAGGCATTCAATAAATAAGTGTATACCAGGGACCGTTCTTTGCCCTGAGGATGGATAAAATAGACAAGTCTTTGTTCTCATGGAGCATATAGCCCAGTGCTCCAAGACACACGAGGAGACAGGCAGTAAACAACTAAACAAAAATACAGTATCAGAGATAAGTTCTGGGAAGAAGCTGAATGATGTGATAGAAGGCAAACTAGGGAGGGTAGCCACTTTAGATAGGCAGCAAAGACATCTCTGAGGAGGGGACACATAAGATGAGATCTGAATGAGAAGATGAACAACGCCTGTGAAGATCTGTAGGAAGTACATTCCGTGCAAAGGGTGAGGAACTTCTCCAGAAGCTCATAATTGCACCAGGGAGGTTATTACAACCTCAAGCAGATGCCTAAGATAATTTCCAGACTAAGAAAGGTAGCAATCCTCCTCCTGCTTGCAGTGCTTCTATTCATGCTGAAAGATAGACGTGAGGTAAAGCAGAGAAGAAGTGGTAAGAAATGCGGCAGAGAAGAATTGTCAACCCTCCGCGACCACACCCCCCGCCACGCAGTCACGTGCTTCTCTTGAAGCAGCTCTGATCCTGTGACCTAACCAGTTTGCACCTTGCCCCTCTTACTGCATTGCCATACATTAGAATTTTTTTTGTTTGTGCAGAGTTTTGTTGGTCCTTTCCCAAGTATCAATCAAAAGTGCATGCCAACCTCCATTCCTTGGAAATAATTAAATGAAATGACGTGACAATTTTTTCAGCTGGGTGAAAAAAATCAGTTTTTGTTTTTTGAGAGTCTCACTCTGTCACCCTGGGTAGAATGTCATGGCGTTATCAAAGCTCACAGCAACCTCAAACTCTTGGGCTTATGCGATCCTCTTGCTTTAGCCTCCCCAGGAGGCATTATGAAGGAGTTTGTCTTAAATTGTGAGGCTGGGCTCGGCGCCTATAGCTCAACCGGCTAAGGCGCCAGCCACGTACACCTAAGCTGTCGGGTTCGAATCCCCAGCCCGGACCCGCCAAACAACGATGATGGCTGCAACCAAAAAATAGCCGGGCGTTGTGGCGGGCGCCTGTGGTCCCAGCTACTTGGGAGGCGGAGGCAGGAGACTCGCTTGAGCCCAGGAGTTGGAGGTTGCTGTGAGCTGTAATGCCATGGCACTCTGCCCAGGGGGACAGCTTGAGGCTCTGTCTCAAAAAAAAAAAAAAAAAAAAAATTGTGAGGCTGAACCATTTGGGAAAACTGAGCTGAATGAATGAAACAACTGCTAACTGCTAGACACAAAAATGAACCTCATGCTTTCGTTCCGCGACCTATTAGGCAGCTCTTCTTTGTGAAGCAAATACGTTCACGTTTTGTTCACAAATTCAATGTACTGTCTTCCTCCTAACTTCTCTATAAAGGCAAAATTCCCTTTATATTGCTGTGACATAGGCGCTATACAACCTCTTGAGCAGAGCAAACTATCTATGGTTGAAGAACACGTTTTGGACTAAGTCCTTTTTCTCCTATTGGGGGTAGTGGGAGCCCATAAAACAGCGTTCATCTTAAGGCCACAGGAGGCACCTCCTAGCATAAGCTTAGCTGCTAAATACGGTAGCATAACTTGTGACTTGTATGCAGACGTTTATCAAAAGCTGTGTGGGGTATTGAAAATAAAATAAAACCTCCTCCTTCTCCCTGCAAAGTGGGATTCCCTCAGCCAGGGAGCAGAACTCGCTGAGGAAGGACTGGTGTTGGCGTGCGAAGGAGCTCTCGGATGGGGGTGTGGGATGCAGTGTTTCTGAGGCGACAGATGAGGGATTTTGGCTGTGTGGGAAGGGAACTGCGGAATTCCTCCCCTTGGTTCCTGAGGGGGGCTCTGACAGAGACAGATTAGGATGCAGAGCGCGGCCCAGGAGACCGAGGGCGACAAGGCGAGCCAAGGACACCAGCACGAACGCGCTTCGGGGACGCCCTGCGCGGGCTGAGCCCCCAGATTTCTCAGCTTCGCCTCCCAACCATCCATCCTTGTCCCAGGGAGACCCCGAAAGGCAGACAGTCTTTGCGGGAAGAGAGAAGAGGGCGCCCACCGGAAGCCCTCTGCCCTACGTCTGCCGATGGACAGGGCCCGACGACTGCAACTGCAGAACACTAAACAAACCATCCCGCCGACCCCGGCGCTGCAGCGCGCACTGCCCGGGTGCGGCGCGCGCGGGCTCGATCCGGGTTCCTGGGGGCGGTGCACGGGTGGGGGCGGGGCCTGCGCGGCGGCGTGGGCGCGAGGCGTGCGGGAGGGAGGGAGCCAGGGAAGGGGGCGGGGCCGCGTCGCCCGCGCCGCGCTGGGCGCTTTCGGCCAATGAGCGGCGTCCACATGCCGCGGCAGCGGCGAGAGGGGAGGCAGCGGCCGATAAATGCTATTAGAGCAGCCGCCGCGGAGCCGTCCCCGACGCCACCTCCTTCTCCTCCGCCGCAGTTTCCTCTGCCGCTGTCGGGGGTGCAGAGCTGAGGAACCTGGGCTAGTGCGCTGCGCACCGCCCCTCCTCACCTCCCTCGCTCCGTCCCGCCCTCAGAGGTCGGCCGGTCGCCCCCTCCTCCAGCCCGGGCGGGGCCGAGAATCACCTCAAGAGTGCTGGGAGTGGGCTCGGGGGCCGCGGCTTGCGCTCCCGGCTGGCAGTTGAGGGCGAAGGAGGCCCTCCCTTCTGACGAGGGGAGGGAGGGTCGGGAGCTCCCCCACCCGCCCAGCAGCGAGGTCCAAGCGGCAAGAGGGGCGGTTGTCTGGGGGAGGGGGCGCGGGGTGATTCAGCGCCCGGCGAGGCGGAAGCGGCCAGAGGAGGAGGAGGAGGAGGGGGGAGAAACCAGTCCGCGCCTGGGCGCCCGGGGTGGCACGAGCCCGCGGCCCGAGTGCGAGGCCGAGGCGAGGAGGCCGCGGGGACAGGAGGTGAGGCCGGTCGGGCCCCCGAAGCCATGGAGAACGCGCACACCAAGACGGTGGAAGAGGTGCTGGGCCACTTCGGGGTCAACGAGAGCACTGGGCTGAGCCTCGAGCAGGTCAAGAAGCTGAAAGAGAGATGGGGCTCCAACGGTAGGTGCCCGGCGCCGCGCCGCGCGGGCCCGACAGCTGGGAAAATGGCTGACGGGGCTCCACCTCGTGGGTCTCGGCTCCGCGCCCGCCGACGGCTGCAGGCCAGGCCCGCGTGCTGGCCCCGTGGGAGTGGGGCTGCAGGCGGGGGCGCCGGGACCGCGCCTCGCTCTAGATCTCTCGCGTCTCGAGCCCTTGACCTTCCCGGCGTGCAGCAGCTGCTGGCCCGGGTGGAGGAAGGACGGGACTCTCGGAGCTGGGTTGAGCCCGGCGAGACATTTTCTCGTCCCCAGTCGATTTATGAGGCGTCGTTGTCGTTGAGAAAGCCTCTGACCGTTCTTGTACTATCCAAAGTTACACATCTGGTGGAAGTGATGACATAGCTGAAAACGAGTTTTTGTTTCAGTAGCCCTAAATGATTTTAGTCTTTCGAGATAGATTAAAAGGCGTTGATTACAAGAAATATGGAATATTTTCTTGAGGTATCGTTTTTCGTATGCTTTCTTAAAAAAAGAACAAAACTGGTCACATAGCATATAATTTTAGCAGTTCTTTTTATAAAAATAATGCTAAATTTTATTTTATTCTTTTCTTACCTCCTTCACACTTTGCCTGGCAAATTTCTACATTCAACAGAGTTACCTGCTGAAGAAGGTAAGTGATCTTAACATGTTCTTTGCCCTCCTCCCCAGTTTGTGTGCTGATGTTAAGATGACAATTACAACGCATATGTTTGTTTCTGACAGGAAAAACCTTGCTGGAACTTGTAATTGAGCAATTTGAAGACTTACTAGTTAGAATTTTATTACTGGCAGCGTGTATATCTTTTGTAAGTATAAAATATTTATTTCCTTTTCCCCAGTGAAGCTGAAAATATACCATAGGTAAATCAGAAAACATCATGTCCCTTGGGTGAAAACATATTTGGAGATAGCTGTGTTTACGTGTTTAAAAATCAAACAAAAAACCGTAGGTATTTTGAAATTATAAACAACACATGAAGCCATTCATGTTCAGAAAATAGATGCCTGATATTTACAGTGTATTCAAAAATCGTTCCTGAATATGTCAAGGTCTTAGAGATATTTGTGATTTACGAGCTTTTAGTGTCAAAAAGTTCTTTATTGAAAGTCTTTTCTGTTTTAGGTTCTTCCATTGTTATCTTATTGTTAGATCATACTAAGGTGATGTTGGGCTCTTTGTAGTCTGTAAATAGAACTTACAAAAGGAATATTCCAGTTGCTTTCCCTTCCTGGTAATGGCAAGGTGACAGTTGTTCCTGAGAGTGACAAGAATGATGACGGCAGTGATGGCACCACTGTTGACCAAATTTGGTCACTGACCTTTAGGGTGGTGTATTTATCTAAATTGGACCCCTGTCTTGAGTGATTCCTGGGTTGAGAGAATAAGGTTTAGTACAATTGGTTCTAGATCTTGAAAGAAAAAAAAAAACAGCACAGTGTTTTTCATGTTCTCTATGTGCTTACCCTGCTTGAGTCCTGTATGGTTGCTAAGAAACCAGTGAAATGCAAAGAACTACTTCAGAAAAAAAGGTGATGGAGGTGGTCAGGCTATTTCAGTATTAATTTCTTGTTGGATTTTTCTTCTCAGGCAATAGACGACTTGGTAGTTTTCCTAAACATGGTCATGAGTAGGACACAGATGTTCTTAATCCTAATAGCACAAGATGTCTTTTGCTGTTGTATTACAGTATTTTTTGTTTTTACAAAAACCACTATGGGAAGTAGCATTTACCCAGTACAATACTACTTTCAAGTTTCACAAAATTGACACAGCTTCAAAGTTTTAATTTTGTATATTTGTTACATATGCAAGTCCCACGGATCTGCCTTGGTCTTTATGACAGCCATGCTGTGGAGGGATATTTTTTTTTGAGAATTAAACCAGTGGGCATCTACTTCAGGAGAGGGAAAGATTAATTTTATAGTCCTCTTTTAATTAACAGCAGCAACTTTTGGAGTAGTTTTTACATAAATTCTGTCATGAGGCTTTAATATATCATCATACTGTGTTAGCCAAGTGGTATGTGGCCATTAATTATTCATCCTCCAAGAATCTTTTTTGTGGTTTTCATTGAATAAATTGAGACTTCCATAGCAAACCGTTTAGAATATAGAAGAATCAATTGCTCCATACCTCTAACATTTCTGTCTTTCCTTGATTAATTAAAAAGTGCTCCCAGTAAATGGCTGCTGTTTGACCAATTAAGACTAATGAGTAGAGCTGTTTGATTAACTGTAGTGTCAGTACATTGCTGTGGGGCAAAATAAGTGATCTAAGAGTACGGTTTATATTTAAGCTATCTGCATAATTCTGAAATAGTCTCAGCTTTGGCATTTAATTGTTGGAGTGGGCTTAAGATCATTGGTAGTTAGTGTTTACAAACCAGAGGTAAAATAAATTAATTCTGCGTTCGGTTTGAAGCAGTTTTGTAAATAATGCCTGTAAATAATCTTATGTTACAGTAAAGAAGATACTGGCTATTTGGGTTATATGGGGTCTCTTTAGCTGTTTTAAGTGACTGTATTAGCATTTTGAAGTAATGGTGTGTGGTTTTTTTTTTAACTTTATTGTAATAAGAATTGATAATTTAGGCTCAGCGCCTGTAGCTCATCGGCTAGGGCAAGGGCCACATACACTGGAGCTGGTAGGTTTGAACCCAGCCCAGGCCTGCCAAACAACAGTGACAACTACAACAACTAAAATAGCTGAGTATTGTGGTGGGCGCCTGTAGTCCCAGCTACTTGGGAGGCTGAGGCAAGAGAGTTGCTAAAACCCTAGAGTTTGAGGTTGCTGTGAGCCATGACACTAAGTCTACAGAGGGTGACTTAGTGAGAGTCTCTCTCAATTAAAAAAAAAAATTGATAATTTAAAGGCATTTTCAAATTGATTTTAGAATAAATGTTTTCATTTTGTTGTAAGATAGGACATTGGCTTTTTAGAGTTACAGAGTTATATTTGGGAGTTGAAATTGTAGTTCCTTTTTGGTAATTACTTGGGAGTTATGTGCATATTGCTCAGGAAATGAACTATGTTATAATTACTTTATGGATTGCTAAATAGAAAAAGTGTTTAGTGAGTGCTTTTACTAGAATTCACTTAATTTGCTCTGGTTTCTTTGTCCAAGAAATTACAGATATAAACCTGTTTGTTGATTTTCTTCACGTAGGGTTGGCATGGCTGCTGCATTATACTTGACCTTTTCATTCTTCATTTCTTTATCCTTTAAAAGAAAGAGCACAGAAGCACAGAGTCTTTTCTGGTAGCCAGTTTATTCCTATTGGCTTAACAAGAAAAACATGGTAGAATCTTAAGGTTTTGTTTTTGTTTTTGTTTTTTTTTGGAGAAGTGAATAGACAGTTTCTGTAATGTATACATAATGCATCATCAGGTCATGCTCAAATTAAAAAGAATACCAGTGTTTTGTTTCAAATATCAAACTAAATAGTGAACTGTTAACCATAGTTAATATTTTGCTGTGGCAGAATGTGGGAAACTGCATTAATGTTTTACTCTTGAGACTGTAGAGATGAAGTTTAATTTGTAATATTTGCCAAAATTAAAAAAAAATTGTTTTTAAATCTGTTGGATTGGAAGAAGTGAGCTTCTTTATCTCTCAGGGCATTTGAACATTAGAAATTCATTGTCGGGCTCGGCGCCTGTGGCTCAAGCGGCTAAGGCGCCAGCCACATACACCTAAGGTGGCGGGTTCGAATCCCCAGCCCGGCCCACCAAACAACAATGATGGCTGCAACCAAAAAATAGCCAGGCGTTGTGGCAGGCGCCTGTAGTCCCAGCTACTTGGGAGGCAGAGGCAGGAGACTCGCTTGAGCCCAAGAATTGGAGGTTGCTGTGAGCGTGATGCCATGGCACTCAGGGGATACCCAGGGGGATAGCTTGAGGCTCCGTCTCAAAAAAAAAAAAAAAAAGAAAGAAATTCATTGTCAAGAGAGCACCTCCCCCGCCAGTATCTCAGTTTGTCTTTCCATCCTGTTCTTAGTTACCAATCCTGCCCTGAATGAAACACATCATATAGTTGCTTGAATTGGAATGCCTGTCTGCCTTTTCCTCTTTTCACTGCTTCGTTAGTTATTGAGCACCTGTCACTGGGTTTATGGCAGCAAACAAAATAGATGGTGCTCTTGAGAAAATGAAGGAAGAGGGCTGGTCTTGGAAATAAGTGGACATAGGGAAGGGAGTACAATTCTCAAATTGGGTATTCAGGAACGTCCTCAAAGAAGGCTACATTTGAGAAAAGATGCAAAGGGAGTGAACATAAGGGCCATGTTGGTCTCGTTCCCTAGTATTTAATATTGCGTTTATGTAGTGTTCTTAACTTTTTTCAAGTCTGTTTTAATATTTTAAAAATGAGATGGCTCGGTGCCTGTGGCTCAAGTGGCTAAGGTGCCACCCACATGCACCTAAGGTGGCGGGTTCAAATCCAGCCCAGGCCGCCAAAAACAACAATGACGGCTGCAACCAAAAAATAGCCGGGTGTTGTGGCGTGCGCCTGTGGTTCCAGCTACTTGGGAGACTAAGGCAGGAGACTCGATTGAGCCCAGGAGTTAGAGGTTGCTGTGAGCTGTGATGCCATGGCACTCTACCCAGGGGGATAGCTTGAGGCTCTGTCTCAAAAAGAAAAAAATTTTTTTAAAAAATGGGATAAGATGGTTTATTTAATTTTTTAGAACTTTAAATAATGTTTCAAAAGGTGAATGTTTTGATATATAGCGTATATTATACTGCTTTTTTTTTTTTAAAGACTAGTCAAGTTTGAAAACATTGAACAGTGTTTTACATAAGCTTTGTATCTAGATGAGAAAGAATGAGTTGTTGTGTTTTTTTTTGTTTTTTTTTGTTTTTTTTTTGGAGACAAAGTTTCAGTATGTTGCCCTTGGTAGAGCGCTTTGGTGTCACAGCTCACAGCAACCTCAAACTCTTGGGCTTCAGCAGTTCTCAAGTTCTGGACCTGTGGGTCGTGACCCCTTTTTAACAATGAAAATACATTGCAACATTAGGATAGTTGAGAAACACTGGCTTAAGTGATCCTCTTGCCTCAGCTTCCCAAGTAGCTGGGGCTACAGGTGCCTGCCACAATGCCTATTTGTTGCAGTTGTCATTGTTGTTCAGCTGGCTAGGCTGGGTTCGAACCCACCAGCCTCGGTGTATATGGCAGGCGCTGTAACCACTGTGCAACGGGCACCAAGCCACCCTTTGTATCAATTTGTGAACTGTTTAATGTCCATTTCCTCTTTTTAAAAAAATTGTTTTATATACAAATTGTTTTTTGTATTAAGCAAAATTTGAGTCCCCAAAAGCACACAGTGCAAGTTTCCGAGAATGCATGGAGGAGCAAAATGTGCTTATGATGTTTTCTTTTTATGATCTTTGTTGAGAGCTCAATTCATTATTCCAACATAGAAAACTGAGTCATAGCATCATGACTATCTCCCAGTTTATAAGTATAACAGGCCTTTTTTACCTTGGATTAAAATTTGCTTTATTCATTGTACCTTCCTATCAGAAGTTAGCAATGCTGTATAAAGATTAATCTTGTGGATAAATTTTCTTTTGTGGGGGGAGACAGTCTCACTCTGATGCCCTTGGTGTTGTAGCTCACAGCAACCTCAAACTCCTGGGCTTAAGCAATTCTCTTGCCTCAGCCCTCCTAAGTAGCTGGGACTACAGGTATCTGCCACAATGCCTGGCTATTTTTGTTGTTGTTGTTGTTGTTGTTTTGTTTTTCAAGAGATGGATCTTGCTCTTGCTCAGGCTGGTCTCAAACCTGTGAGCTCAGGTAGTCCACCTGCCTTGGCCTCTGAAGTGCTGAATTATAGCCCAGTGCCTGGCTATTTTTTAGAGGCAGGGTCTTGCTCTTGCTCAGGATGGTCTCTAACTCATGAGCTCAGGCAATCCACTGCCGTCCTGTGCCTCCCAAACTGTTGTGGATAATAATTGAAAGATGCCTTAAATTGAAGTTGAGTGTTCATTAGCAATTGGTTACTCTGAATAAGATTGGCAATAAGAAACACTGTTTATATCTAAATTCTGCAGACTTTCTTCTACTTTTCCTTTGCTATTGTTCATGATGTTGGTTACCTTTTTGTCTTTAATGTTTAAATTCGTATACTGCCACTTAGGGGTCTTGCATCTTAGAGGTCATGCAAGATTTTGTTTCATTAAATAATGCGCTTGCTCAATAAATATATGTTGAGTATTAATTATATATTAGAGGCTCTAGGGTGTTAGGAATATAATAGTGAACAAAAGGCAGTATAGACAGTGCTTTATATTCAACCTGTTCTCGGAGTTTTTAGAAACATTTTTCCTGTCTTCTATATAGGTATACTTTGTATAACTTCTGGTAAATTATGAACTCACCTAATGAGGTGCTAATAAGGCCTCTTGCATTTCAGTAATGTCAGATTTTCCTTTCCATCGCATGGAGCCCTTCATTTTTCAGTAGTTATTGTCCTACTTATCAATACAACAAAACAAAGAAGGACTGCTGGACATGATTCATGGTTGCTCTTTATTTTGAGCTGTAGCCATTTAATTCTGTGGGTTGTTCACAGTTTCTAAAAAAAAAAAAAAAAAGTTTAATACTGAAAGTCTCACTAGGTCACCCTTGGTAGAGTGCTGTGGCATCACAGCTCAGAGCAACCTCAAACTCTTGGGCTTAAGTGATTCTCTTGCCTCAGCCTCCTGAGTAGCTGGGACTACAGGTGTCTGCCACAATACTCGACTATTTTTTGGTTTGCAATTGTGATTGTTATTTTTAACAGGCCTGGGCCGAGCTTGAACCTGCCAGCTTCGGTGTATATGGCTGGCACCCTACTCACAGAACTAAGTGCTGAGCCTATTAGACATTTTTTGAAGTATTCAGGAAATTCATGATTGCCAATTTTAAATAGGTTTGGTGCCTATGGTCCCAGCTATTTGGGAGGCTGGGGCAGGAGGATTGCTTGAGCCCAGGGGTTTGAGGTTGCTGTGAGCTAGGCTGATGCAATGGCACTTCAGCTGAGGTGAAGTGGTTGACAGAAGGAGACTCTGTCTCAAAAAAAAAAAATAAATAAAAATCTTATTGATTTGGGCAGCATTCAGTCTTAGGGTTTGACCACTTGTTTCTCATAAGAGGTAATTAGGTTATCTGTAGAACCTTCAAATAACAATACAAATGCTTGTGTTTCCTACACAATGACATTTAGAATAATGTGTAAGAAAAGGCTGCTACATTGTGCAAGTTAGGATTCTGATGTTATTGATGACCACTTAAAAAGGACAGATTTGATCTGATACTTGTCACTGCTTAGTCTTTTCCTTTGCTCTGGTTGTTATGGGATATTGCTTTAAGTTTGTTGTCTAGGCCTGGCTGCCAAGAGGGAAATTCATACCCACTTTAATAAGGTGTGAAGCTTATCTTACAGTTGGTAATGCCTCACTGACCTTTTAGAAAGGCCCTACTTACTCTTTTAAGTCAAGCAATTTTTCTCCCTGAAGAGCTAATTAAGTTTCTTATTTCTGATATGGCAAATGTTTGAAAGTATTGGAGCAGCTGTGATCCTGCATCTTTCAAAATTTATAACTTCCTAGAGAAGTTTTCCTTCTGGCATTAGGCCTAGCCCTTAATACTGAGAATGCCCTGTTGAAAGCTTGTAGCAACATCATATTAATTCTGGTTTTCTACCTGCCCTAGTTCATTACCTGTTAGTGATGATTGATATCTGTCAGGACTTTGTCCTGGCGTGTCTCTTTTTTTGCCGCCTCATTGATATTTCTTGTTAATTGTTACTCTTGCAGCATTCGTATGGGGCCTTGCCTTAACATCTTTCTGGTTGTTTGCTATTTGTGTAAAAGCTCACAGTTCATAGTATTCCATTAAGTACAGATATAATGCGATGGTTTCACTATTGCCATAAGTCATATCAAAAAAGAG